AGAGGGACGCGACCTGTAGCCTCCCTGTCCACCCTGCTTTTAGGAGCTAGTTGAATCACCAGGGAGCCCGGCTGCAGTGCAGACGTCCCCGGAGAGCCTGGCCCGCGCAGGTGCAGTCGCAGCGGCCGGAATGGGACATAGCAGGAGGCACCGTGCGCAGTAGGGGGCGGGGCATCTGTTGTGCAGAACTGGGGGTAGTAAGGAGCAGAGCGGAGTGCACCAGAACACGTGGCCACCCGAGCAAAGGATCCCTGCCGTAGCCGGCTCTGAGAACCGGGAGCAGCCCTTCCCTGCGGGGCAGCTCCATGCTGCATTCTGTTCCCATAAAGAGCTCTAACTGGGGCAGGCAGTCTCGGGAGCGCGATCGCTCAGTGCTAGGCGGAGCAGATGGCTTTCTTGCCCGGTTGGAAAGCCATTGATCCCCAATGAGGCCCATGGGAGTTGGGGGGGCTCTGCACCTCTCCAAATCCAAGCCCTAAATTAGTACTGAATAGGGCCCTAACTCTGCAGAGACTAAGGTAAGACGTGACCCTGCTCCAGTGAACAGGAATCCATTTCCCAGGCTGGATCTTGGGAAGCCCTTGATCAAAAACCCCCAAATGTACCCGGAGCCTTGCCCTGGGCCCTGCTGAGACGTGATCACAGTCAAGGCGCTCTGAGCAGGCAGGTTTCGAGCACTTTCAGGCCCATATGCCGGGGCGGGGGGTGCAAAGGGAGCGAATCCACCCCCATGGTCTCCCAAGTAAGTGTAAGGAGGGGAGTGTGATGTTTGTATGTTACAACACAATCATTTTACCAATGGCTGTGTCCATTCATTAACCTCTTGTGCACACTTATTGCATGACTATTTTGAACACCTTGAAAAAAACTGCGGTCCACACTCCCCAAAAAAGCACCCTCCCCCCGAACTTCCTGTGCACAGGCCTGACTTTGGAACAGTTGGCTGTGGGGATCAGAACTCTGACCCGTAAGGACAGCTGAGGGGCTGGGATCCAGGGAGGTAGGCTGAGAATGAGCTGGAGTGAGGGTTTGGGCAGTGGGGGGGGGCGGGGCGAGCAACTGATGGGGAGCCAGGAGGTGGAAATGGAGGTGAGCAGGGGGAGAGAGGTGGAATGGAATGAGGAA